TTCCAGTCATAGGAGACTATTCCTCAGGCAGGAATAGTGCTTGTTTCCAGAACATATGCTGGGTGGCACTGGTGAAAGTGAGCAAGATCAACACTTGAGCAGCTTGAGCAGGATCACAGATCACAGGAGACAGAAGGTTAATGTGATAAAAACAAAGAATTAACCCAGAGAAGGAACAGTTCTATGAAACCTGCTTTGAAAAATCTAAATCTTTATTCCTAAATTGATTCCACTGTTTCCCACAGATATATTGAAAGTCTCTTTTTTTTCCAAAACAAGCAAAACTAATTTCTGAGTTTTAAAATACCCTTTAATTTGACTTCAAACAAAGTCATCCTTTGAACTTGAAATAAGTTGTATGCAGATAATTATGATTAAAGCAAAAAAAAAAACCAATGTGCACATCATATAATTTGAGTTTGAAAGAGAATGTTACCAGATACTTTTAATGCGACCTCTGGGCCTCAGAGAGTCTACAGAACAAGAAGTGTAACAGCTATTTCAACTCGAATTTGCTGCAAATATGACTTCACTGATCAAGTACTGGCAAGCCATTCACTGACAGATTATTAAAACCACTATTAATAAACCCTTAATAAACAATTCAAATACCAGCTCAGCCATCACCTGAGAAATTTGAGAAATTAAATTAACCTGTCTAGAACTCAGGGAGCCATGCTTCCAAATTAATAAACAGTCAGTTAAACACAAATGCTTAATAAATGGAACTAAGTTAGCCTAGGGGAAAAAACTGAAAATCCAAGAACAATTTGGAGAAGAACTAGAAAATCTTAATCACAAAGTTATGAAGCACATATAGTAATCTTACCCATACTGTAATAATCTTGCCTCATGCCACTCTAGAAACACTACTTCTCTTCCTGTAGCCTTCACAGTTTTTAAGTTTCTGGAAACTCCAGCAGATTACTACACTATAAACACTCCCCACTTGGATTGCACCTTGGGTTAGGTCATTGAACAACTGCATTTTTAGTGCCTTCATCTTTCCCCAATGAAAAGCAAGTTAAAACGAAGTGCAGGAGCGGAAAATGGGGTAGTGGTCAGGCATTCAATCTCACAGAGGAAGCAGCTGGGACCTTTCATAGCAGTGATCCATTCTGAAAAGTCACTTGGTGAAAAAGTAAGCTGTTTGTCCTTCTGCCTTCCAGCTCTCCATATTGTGCATACTGTCCCCACGAATTTAATTCAGGCACATTCATTAAGCTTCAGCACTCATCACATTCCACCCTCACATCAGTTGCTTGGGGAAAATTTGTTTATGACAAACCATTTGTTATATGACAAACCATTCCCTTTTCAGGAACACGTTCTGGGCAGATTCTACATGCCTTTTATCTTGTCAGACACAGCATATATTGCAGTACATTCCACAGCTGTAAGAAACTTACTGTTCAGCTGACTGAAAACATTTTGAGTTGAAAGAATTCCTATTCTCCCTATTCTCTAGACTGCTGAGGTCCAGAGTTAGTATTAAAAAAAAGCATTTTGGGGGTTTTAACTGAAATTAACTGATACGTGTAAATAGATTTTTTTTTCATAAAACATATTGTCATACAGCTTTATTACAGCTCTTTCCCACAACAAAGTAAAAACTCCCACCAAAATGATTCCATCTCTTCAATACCAAGAAATTCATATTTAGACCAATGGATGCTTTGGATAAGGCCCTTTAGTATTTGCCCAATTGTTTCCCAGGGAGGACTGCTTGGAAACTAATCAGGGAGATGCTTAGGAAAGACACTAGTTTTATTGTCCCAAAGTCCTTGTTTACAACTTCACAGCGTACTATTACAGAATGCTGAACTGCCAGATAATACTGATTTCTGCTTCCCTCATAACAACTTTGACTCCTTTAGACAAATCAAAATTTTATTTTGAGACTAAGAAGTGTGAAAAGCGTAGTTTATTACAATGCACTAATCACAATGTACATAAACTATCTGACAACACATTCCTTTCACACATGCAGTGTCTCACTTTTTTCACTTACAATGAACAACTTAAAATCAGAGCTTCTTTTAAACTTTACCCAGCACACAAGCTCTGAACAGAGCCTTCATGAAAGATGGGTGGAACTGAGAGGTTATGAATGAAGTGCAAGCCCAAATGAAGAATTAACTAACCTTCTGTCATATTGTTACTGTTTTACTGAAAAGCATTGAAAATAGATAATTCTTGTGTGTAATCTAGCCCCTACACTAAAATGGGTACAATCCAGATTCTTCCTCTAAATAATCTATATAATATAAACAGAAAAATAATTACATTTTATATTTTTTTAATAATTCTATTAACCTAAATGAGACTTATTTGGGTCTTTTTCAGACATCCACATCAGCACAGTTTATTAACTTAAATAAGAGATTTAGAAGATAATTCAGACCAGACAGAAGCACAGTTGTCTCACTTCTTGCAGGCACTCCAACACTTATTTTTCCCAACCACTTCAGTGCTCTCAATGGCATTTAGGTACATTCTTTACAGCACATGGAATTTTTTTCTAAAGGCTGCAGCACCAAATGAATAGGTTATCAGGGCATTCCCTGACTGCTGTCCACAGCAATCAGCAAGCATGTCAAAGGTTAAAACCAAGCAAAAGAGTTCCTAGAACATGTAAACTCACAGGAATGTCTGAATATGTGTAACCCTCATTAATAAGCATTTAATCAATGTAATGAAATGTATGTAAGTGTTGAAGCTAATGGTGTGCTTTTGGCAGATTGTCAAGCACCCCAGCACTGGATATTGTCCCTTTTATCCCTGACTAAACTCTTACAAAAAATTTTAAATAGTGACCCATTTCTCACAGTTACAATTTTAAAGTCAAATTGAATTTTTTATAGCTACTGGTATTTTAAACAAGGGGTACTTAGTTGCTTTTGCAAGGATGCACTGGAAGATGGCACAAATTCCACCAGAAGTACTTAAAATCATGGACCTTGGGAAGTGCTGACATGATGTCAGGACACTGAGAGTGTATCCTACCCTCAGCAATGTGAGATACAAAGTTGTGTTTCGTGTCAGGTACATACAGGTAGTGTGTGTACTTGTGATTGTGATTTGTATGGAAACTGATCACGGGGCAATTAAAAGATGAATTCTAAAAAATAACTGCGGGAGTAAAGCATGGAAAAAGGCCTTGGAAATTATCCTGTGTTTGCAAATAGCATCTGAATTAAAGTTTTAAGAATGTTGCTGCTGGACAGGAACTTTCTGCACGTAGCTAAGACATAACACCTGCTTCCTAGTACTATTTATTCATCTTCATACATTACTAAACTTCTGCAATAGTCTTGAATCAAAAATGACATTGCCCTTGAGTAACAGGTTATGTAAATATATACATATACTTATATACATATATATATAGTTTTATATATATATATATATATAGATAGTTTTATATATGTAGGTATCTCCAGCTAAAACTTTATTGCTAAAATAGAAACTTTATGGAGCTTCTGAGAGCCACATTTAAAAACAAGCTGGTGACCTATCATTTTATTACTTGAATACAATGGTGAATATCTTACAAAAATTCGTATGAGTTAGTTATTCATGTTTAATACAAATCCAAGTGGAAAAACCAATAATGTAATACTGATAGAAGAACGGATGAAGGGGCTGAGAAGGCCTGTTGTATTGATAAAGGGGCTAGGAAGGCTGGTTATGGGCAGTTCCTGATAAAAACAAGGACTGGTCCCTGATCAGAGTAAGGACTGGCCAAAACTGGCTTTGTGGTCTGGAGAAATGCCACAGGTCTAAGAAACATGCATAAAGAACAGAGGTGAAAAGTTCAGCACGAAGAAAAGCTCACTTCATCTTAAAGCCCCCCCCTCCCCCCCGCCCATGACCATCAGGAGGCACTGCGCAGGAGCAACCAAGAGTAGCCAGAGGGGGGGACTATGGAAGGTATTTCCTGGGACTCATTATAATAAAACCTGCCTTTTTGGGAAAACGTTATGAATATGTATAGGCTTTCCACAATTATCTTAAATATGAAATACTACATTTTGTGTATAAAAGTGAGATAAATCATGACAATGGACACACACATTTATGGTGGAATGATCCCTCATGCATCCAGCGCACTGAATAGACATACCTACTTTACAACTTTGCTGGTTGTGTGCTGCATGTCAGAACTGGATTTAGCTTAAACTTGCATTCCAAATTTAGGCAATGGGAATAACAGCAATCTGTTTTGCAGAATCACCCTGTACACGACAAAACTTTTATTTTGACCTTTCAAAACCTACACTTTTTTTTTTTCTGTGCTCTCCAGGTGCAAATACACTAAGACAACAGTTCCATGCTCATTTCTGTAGGACTAGTATAGTCTCAATTTTCCAAGGTTTTTCTTAGTGAGAGGAAATCTAATGTCTTTACAAACAATTTGATGGGTGAAGGTGTGGGTGTTAACATCTTTGAAATGGGTCTTACTGCTTATACTAACTTTGGGCAACAGGTTTGTTACAGAGCCCGGACAGCTTGGCTGCTGAGATAGACAAGGGTCTGCACAAGCCTGAACTTCTGATCTTTGGGGATATGTGGTAGGTGGTTCAGGAAGGCTGTACCTTCCTCAGCAACAGGGAAAGGAAGAGGGTTACATGTGGCCTAGAGTTTGGGATAAAATGAGGCTGTGCCCTCTGAAACCTCGAGAGAGAAAATCCCAAGGCCATGTGCCCCTGTTGAGTCCCCCCCCTTTATAAAAAAAAAAGTTGAAGGACTTATCTTTTTGGACATAAAACCTTTGGTGTTTGTGGAATATTCTTGACATTAGTCACGACACACTTTTGGCTGATTACATCATCCTGATTTCGCCACTAACTCTTCTCCCCGCCATATCAGTTGCTCCACGTTTTTCACTACTACTTCCGCATTCTGTTGCCACTAACCTTTGTCTTCTGCTAGCACGGTAAAGCAATGCTAAAAATAATCTGGTCATTTTTCTACAACCACTGAAATTCCGGCGGACAAAATGGCTGTTTACCCTTTAACCCTGTGCACCGACCCGACTCCGCCCGCAGCGGCGCTCAGGGAACGACTGGCAATTCCCACCGGGAGCACGCAGCGTGTCAAGCCCGGCGCCCGCCGGAGGGGCCGGCTGTGGCAATCGCGCTCGCACACGCTCAGTCCCTTTCGCGCTCCGTTTCTCTCGGGCTCGTGCTGGAGCGGGGCTTCCCCCGCAGCGCTGCCGTGTGCGGTGGGAACGCGCACAGGACCTGGCTGCCCTCGGAGGCCGCGCACGGTAACGGGCCGCGCTGTTGGGGCCTGGTCGCGGCCCTGGGGAAGGGAGTGGAGCGGGACCTGCGGGAATAGAAGGTCGCTGTGTTGTGCAGCGGTCCCGGCAGCAGGGTGTGTGTGTGTTTGTCTGTGTGTCTGTCTCTCTGTGTGACTGCGTGCTTTTGGTTTAGAAATGACGATCTGGTTTTTTCGTACTCAGAATCTTCATTTCCGCAGTGAAATCTCCTGGTCATTAAGCCTCTTTAAAACTGGTTTTGATTGTTAAGGTGAAGTTTCACTACATTTGGAGATGGGTGGGACAGAGATTTGGAATAATGATATCACATCAATCACAAGAATTTATTATGTCTGTATTTTTGGTAATAATACTGATCTTCTGTAGAGCATTAAAGTTCGATCTTTTACTTAAATCATCTTAGTAGTGGGAGGTACACTCTCAGGCATTTTTTTTTCTTTTTTTTAATCTTAGAAGGCACAATGACTGACTTTGAAAAGAACCTGCATCAGGACATGGTTTCTCAGCTGCATGGCTTTGCTGCTGCTGGAGACGCAGCCAGGCTGAAGGTGCTGCTCAGGCGCTCCCCATCACTGGTCAATGCAGCCTCAGGGAATGGCTGGACAGCCCTCATGTATGGTGCTAGAAATGGACACCTCGAGGTTGTGCAGGTTCTTCTTCAAGAGGGGTAAGCTGTTTAGCACATTCAAGAGCTCTGTTTTGCACAGAGCTTTTTTTTTTTTTTTTTTGCCTGTATCAGTTTTGTCTCAGCAGTAAATTTACCAGATAGATAATGGCAGAATTTTCAGAGCTAAAACTCAGGAAGATGTGTTCTGTGTCAGTTTATAACTGGGTTCTGCTATTGCATCATGCTTTCCTTTTTTCTTAGCATATTTGTTAAGAAAGTCTGAAAGTTATAAGCATCTCTAAAGTTACTGCTTTGATATTCAAGGTTTTGTTGCCACTTTTCACAGAGGCCAACAGAATAGAACAAAGTTGGCACCCTAATTCCAACCGCTGTATTGAATATAAATTGTATGTATTTGGTTGTTCCACTTAAATTTTTTCTCTAAACTTGATTTGTAATCCACTTGAATCTTTGTTAGTGTAGAATGTGTGCTGACTAAGCTTTAGTAGGACATCACAGACTCACTTTTTCCAAAGTTACTTCAAATGGAAAATGCTTTAAAACTAAGTTAGAATCAAATGCATTTAACTGAGTTTAACATTAATAAAGCCCAGGCTGTTCCGTTCTGAACTCCTAGTTACAGAAAAGAGCAAGTTTAGTTCCTTCTCTAGTTAATGACTAACTTCAGACATAGCATTCCACATCCTCCAGTAATCATGCCATCCATTCTTGATTTTTTTATTCAGTCATACCCAAGACCTGTAGCCTCTGTTGGGGCTCAGAGTGGGGCATTAGATAAACCATTGGTTTCTATTATAATCAGTACATTCCAGTATGTAGAGGATATCTTAGTGCAAGATTTTGCCTATTGAGAAATCTTTTGAGATGCTGGGGAATGTATCAGTTGGTAAATAGGATTACAGTTTTTAACTTTAGCTTTTCTTTAAAAAAAAAAAAAGTGAATATTTCTTTTAAATGTCCTTTTTGTGGTTGCTCTGTTAGGCAATTGACTATAGTTCATAAGATGATGCTGTACCGTCATTGATCTTCTTTTAGTTAATGCTCAGAATAATTATTTTGACAATTATAGCTGCTGGTTATACAAAGATGAATGTCTATGAAGATAATATTTCATAACATTAGAGACTATAATTCTAGAAGTCTAGTCAGTTGTTTTTTGGTCACAGAATAGTAGCATCATAGAATGTCCTAAATTGAAAGGGACCCACAAGGATTAAGTCCCACTCATAGTTCTGCACAGCACTGTCTCCAAGGATCACACCATGTGCCTGAGAGCATTGTCCAAACCTTACTGATCTTGGTCAGCCTTGGTGCTGTGAGTGCTGCCCTAAGGAGCCTGTTCCAGTGCCCAGCCACCCTCTGAGTAAAGAACATTTTCCTGATAGCCAACCTAATCCTCTCCTGAGAGAGATTCATGCCATTCCCCTGAGTCGTGTTCCTGGCCATGAAAAGAATTGCTTTAGCAGCAAAATCTTGTAATTTAAGTTTTGAATAGTTTTTTAAACAGTATACTCAAATTCCCTCAAAAACTGCTGCGTTTAGTATAAAATCTCAAAATGGTCTTGCCTGTGGTACAGTTAACTGCATATCAGCAACATTAATATTACTGGCATCTTCTGGTTTTAAAAACTGATGGGTCTGGTACTTACTACATAATTTGTAGTTTACAGTGACATTTCTGTTTTACTGACCAATTTAAGATGAGCAAATAATTAAATTTATTATTTTGACCTCCCAGTCAACCTCAACCTATTTAAAATTCGGGTTTCTTTTTGTTTTAGTATTTAAATGTATGTGTGAGGCAACATTCCCTTACCTGTTTAATTTTGCAGATATCTTGGTAACAAAAAGATCCCTACAGGAGCCAGCTTCTGTCACTAACGAGAGGCTGTAGTCTTAATTCTATTTTTGTGTAAATCATCCGGAATTCACCGTTAGAAGGGACCCACAAGGATCAACTCTTGCAGCTGCGCAGGTCATCCCAAGAATCCCATCATATACCCATGTGTTTGAAAGCATTGTCTAAACATTCCTTGAACTCCAGCTTTGTGTCCTGTCACTGGTCATCAGAGTGAAAGGAGTAGTACCTGTGCCTCTGCTTTCCCTTGTGGGGGTATTGGACACCCCGATGAGATCTGTCTTCAGTCTTCTTTTCTCCGGGTTGAATAAGCCAATTAACCTCAACAAAATATTTTATTGTAAATGCTCTGTTGCTGCTTCCAGGAGCTTCTAGAAAGTAATCCTTGTTAGGCTTCTTTTTTTTTCTTTTTTTTTCTTTCATTTTGATTACTGATTATGAGTAACAGACCTATAACCTGACTTTCAAAGCTCTTGTCTTGAGCCATTTTTTAATGATACAGTATGTGGAATTTTAATAAATTCATTGCCTTTGTTCTCCTTCATGAATTTTGGTGAATGATAATCTGGAAAGGATCAACAAAAAGGTGAAATACAGCCTTGGCAAAAGAAGAAGTATATTTTCTCACCATGATCCTAAACATTTTGCCTAAAGATTATCCCAGTGTAGACAGTGTCTAGAAGTTCTTGTACCTTAATAGTGTCAGATACGTATGTTGTAAGAATAATACAGCAACAGGACCCTTCCTAAACATACTTACTCTGGTAACCTTAGCTATTTTCTGTTTATTCAGGTGTGACAGATCCATCGTTAATAAATCAAGGCAGACAGCTCTGGACATTGCTAAATTTTGGGGGTACAAACACATAGCTAATTTGTTGGCTAATGTGAAAGGTTATCAGAAACCTAGTTTTTTGTCAAATGATGTGAAAGAATACGAAAATTATTTTGGCATGACACTTCTGGACAGGAGGAGTGATAAAAGAGCAGATTCTAAGTGGCTGAGTAAAAAAAAAAGCCATCCAGCTACAGTGTACATCCTCTTCTCAAATCTAAGTCCCTTGGTTACTTTGGGTGGGGGAAGAGAGAGCTCACAGCAACCAGAAGTAAAGCTTTGCAGGCTGTGTCACAAGGATGTGGAACAGTGCATGAACCAAACTGAAGAATGTACCTTGATTTTTCTTGGAGTGGACCTTCAGTTTGACATGAACCTGATGGCTGCCTGTAATGAAAGAATTCAGCAAGAGAATGAAGAAGATGGGTTAGTTGCTTGGTTTGCTCTTAGCATCGATTCTGCTTCTGCTGAAAAATTTAAACATAAGCACAAGGACTGTTACTTTCTTCACCCGCTGATGCCAGCACTACTGCAGTTACCTGAAAAAGAAGCTGGTAAGGTGCATAAAATGCAGCAAGTACAAAATCTATAGTCAGATACATTTTGGTATTCCCTGAGGTATAATTCAAAGAAAAGACGAACCACTGCAAAGAAATTGTGTTTCCAGTGGCTTTAGAAATATTTTGATTTTAAAAACCTGGTAGTGGTTTTGTGAAGAATTTTGCATGTAAGAACGTGCGCATTTGCAAAGGACTAATTTCTTCAATGACAGTATTAGACTGTAAAACCTATTGATCATCCTGGGTTTTAAACAGTACTATTTAAATATTAATGTGCAAACATTATAAACATAAAGGAAAAAAATCTGTCATTACTGAGTTTTCAGTAATGAAATTGTTAATTAAAATTAATAACTAAGAAATTATTAATTACAAGAAATGAGAACGTGTGTCCTTTATAACAGTGTGTTACGACACACGTATGACAAGGAAGTGTTGAAAAGTCAGGATGCCAAAGTGAATTTGTGTTAGTAAGGACAATAACAACAAGTGTTGTTAATGATTGCTGTCATAGCAGTTTTGTTTTTACATAAGGATAAAAGGAAAGCTTGACTTGAACCTTAAGTTTAAATGGAACAATGCATTATTCTGTCAATACCTGTAGAACCCCTAAAATGGTCATCTGAAAAAGACTTTATGCATGTAGTTTTGGCAGTTTGCCTACACAAAGTGTCTTGTGTGAGAAACAGAGTATATTGATCTGGATGAATTTGTTTCTGAATGTGTGTAAATTGCCCTGTAGCTCTTTAATACCATGTTCTATTGCGTTTGTTATGCTGCAAAGAAAAAGGTCTGCTTAACTCATACTGCTCAACTTCTCTTTTAGCTGTGATTATGATTCAAACCACACTCTGATTTTTTTGTGTTAAATCTCAGTACTTGATTTTTCTATGCTGTTAAAAGCTTAACATGAATTAGTATTTGATTTTGTGCATTTTCAATGTATTGTTTTAAAGGAGTAATAGCCCAGGCAAGATCTGTTCTAGCATGGCACCACCGTTACCGATTCTGCCCAACATGTGGGAGTGCAACCAAGATTGAAGAAGGAGGTTACAAGAAAACTTGCTTAAAAGAAGATTGTCCCAGTCTCCAAGGAGTTCACAACACATCATATCCAAGAGTTGGTGAGAATACTCAAAAACGGCTTGCATGTAAATTAGTTGCTTGTAAATTGCTATGCATGTAAATCAATTTATTTCTAGTTATTTCAGCTGCTTACGTCTGTCCTAGGTCTCCCATACTTGCTTCTCCACAGGTTATGTGTATCTCGGCTCTGTTTAAGTAGTTCAGGCTTGTCTTTCTTTCACTAGTCTGTGATACAGAATTGCTGTGACAATGCTAACCTTATTTCAACAAGTACTGTCAGTTAGAAGTTCCATCAGTATAAATGAGTATGAAGGGTCACATTTTACTTTATTACTTAAAACTAGATGACAATAAAAAGGGGAAAAGATCATGGATTGATGGGGTGCTTAGACCAATAGGAGAAATACTAAGTTAGAAGGAAAAAGACAGATACAATGACCAGAAGTGAGAAAATCTGTCAAAGTGCAACATCATATGAGAAACTGATAGTAAAGAGTAAACAAAGTCAAAGGTGGAAAGTAGTCAGTACTTAGTCAGTATTTGCATTGTCAGCAAAGTGTCTAGTTATTTGGTGTTTAGTCAAAAAGACATTGTTCCGACCTCTGTGGTGAAGAGAAGATGATAATAAATGAGTTTGTTGCAGAAACTGTTTGTATATGCTGGATGCATAGGTTAGCACTGCTGATACTCTTAGCAGATTGTGTCCTTTGGTTACAGGTAATTTCTGTCCTGCATTTCAAGCCTTGCTTAGTAAGCAAGGTTCTGCTTCTACTAAGCATGTATGTTGCACAACCAAATAAAGAGGTGTCTTGCGTGGAGGGTAACCCCTAAGTGAACTGAAATAACAGTTTACTCTGGGCACAGACACAATTATGATTTCAATATAATTTTTGACTTTATGTGCATTGGTATGGAACGGACTAGAAGTTTTTACTGCATTAAGTCTCTCAAATGTTGAAGTATATTCATTTCATGTCCTTTGCAGATCCTGTAGTGATAATGCAAGTCATCCATCCAGATGGCAACCATTGCCTTTTAGGTAGGCAGAAGAGATTTCCCGCAGGAATGTTTACCTGCCTTGCTGGATTTGTAGAACCTGGTGAGTAATTTCATTTTCCTTTATCAAATGTATTTTCTCAAGGAAATACCTTTACAATTACAGAGGAATATAATTTGTGTTGTATTAAATTGAAGGTTTTTTGCTTCCTGATAGAAGAGTTGTTACAATAAGTACACTCATTCTGTACTTTGCAGCTGCTGATTTATTTTTAAAGAAGTGAAGAGCAACTTGAATAAATAAAAATACTGAACAGTTTGCAAATCATGTAGTCTTAAATCACTACTTAAGTGAAAAAAAACTATTTTAAAACACGTCACCTTGGCTGGTGATACTTAGCAAAGGATTTTAGCATAGGAAAAGTAAGTGTTAAAGTGTAAGTTAAAGCTAACATGAAGTTAAACGTATGCTTATGTGTTTAGGGCCTGATTGATTCTGTGGAAGATAAATAGAAACTACATAATTCTAAAAGAAAGATAAAGAGATATTTCAATAGCTATGTCAAGTGATAATAGTTAAATTAGTTACAATTATAAGTATCTGCAGAACAACTTGTAAAATATTCTTGTGAATAGATCTTTATCATCAGGGAAATTGTAGTAGAATAATAAATAGTAGTAGAATAATAAATATATTCAGTAAATATATGCAGGCTGACATACAGTGACAGCATGAAGAAGCTTATTCAAGTATCACTTGAAAGAAGTCAAGATATTTATTTCTGATGGGTGGACCATGTCCTTTAATGAACCTGTAATCAGTGATTACAGCACAGTACATGTGTGCCTATGGGGGCTGGTGACCATCAGCATTCCACACACATGCATCTACAGTTTTCTATGGATATGGAAGCAAAGCTTTCCATTGCAGTTTCAATTTACAGTATTGTCTGCATGTGTTAAGACAGTGAAGAATGAGTCAGGCAAAGGGAATAATACAACACAGAAATGTGAGCATGTATTCTAAATCTCTGTTTTCTTGCTATTGTAATTCTAAATACTGATTTTTGGAGTTGTAGTACATGCTGTTGCAATCACACTGAAAATCCAGAAATTAACATGGTCCTAGTTACAAATGAATTTTTCAAGAATAATTATAGGAATTATGTATTTTCTACCTAATTTTTGACATTTTAGGTATAGTGATAATGGTTTGTGTGTATAATGAATTATCAATTCAGGAAATAAATATTATGGAGAAATTACTACACTTTATTTTTAAAGTTCCATTTCTCTTTTTATCTTTTTATACTTTTGTGTCTTGTGCTGAGGTCTTTGCCCTGATCTGTGAACTAGATCTTTATAGATAATTGCCTTGGGCAGTTTCATATCTTTTAACTCAGTTCAAAGCACAGCATGTGATCATTGCTTGGAGTATTTTCATGACCTGCTTGTTCTTTGCTCTTTTTGATTAGGCGAAACCATAGAAAATGCTGTTCGAAGAGAAGTAGAGGAGGAGGCTGGAGTCAAAGTTGCCTGTGTTCAGTACGTCTCTTGTCAGCCATGGCCAATGCCCTCCTCCCTAATGATTGGCTGCTTAGCTGTTGCAGTGTCCACAGAAATTAAAGTTGACAAGAATGAAATAGAGGATGCCCGCTGGTTCACTAGAGAACAGGTGAAGTTCAATTTTATTTTCTTCTTCTATTGATTTGTCTGTGGCTGTATTGTTTCTGGCATACAACAGACACTTGCTTTTTCAGCAAGTCAAATGAGCATGTGTCCTCTTCATTTTATCATTCTATAGTTGCATTATATTGTCATTGTAGGTTAGACACAACCAGAAAAAGGTATTCAGAGTGATGTCTGAGTTACTTGCAAGCTCATTTTGTGATGTTTTTGCCAGTTTGTTCTTCACCTTTCCCTTCTGTGAGATAGTAATTTTAACCCATGTCCTTAGCGAGCCCATGCTTTTTATGCAGTTGTAGTATTTAATAGCATTATTCATTACAGTTTCTGCAAGCAGTCATGTTGCCAGATTTGCTGTGAGGGTGGAAGTTAAAGGACTCTGGGAATTCATTAGATTGAATATCTTTTTTCATGCTGTACTATTTTAATATTCTGTTACTAAATGCAGCTTACTGTGCATTAATAAGAAATCCTATGCTTAGCTTCCATCAGTAGTTAAAATATAGTCAAATAAAAGTGAGGCAGAAAAGACTTTCACAGAAGTATTTCAGTTCATGAGTAAAAGGAAAAATTGCTTGCACAGTTTAGTTTTCACAGGTTTTCCTATAGGCAACTTAGGAGCTAAGCTTTTCATAACACTGGACATCTGCCTAGCAGTTCAAAGCGTTTTGACTGTAAGTCACCTTGAAGGCAAAGTTAGTCACCTACAATGAATGTGTTTCTGTTAACACTGAGAGCATTGTTTTAAAGGAACATCAGTTCTAAATACAACTAGTCCCATGCAGATTGGGCATACAGCTGGAAATACGCTTCACAAATGTACTGAAAGTGTATTCACATGTTATTTGCAGCTGCTTCAGAAGACCAAGAAGACACATGTCCGTGGCGCTACATGTAAACATTAAAATAATTATTTTTGTCACAGTGTAGAGCACTATCTGGTGGTCCTTGCCATAAAAAGGCTTCACAGAAACCTTAAATAGTATACTAGCGGTCTCCACATTTCTGTTAGGAAGAAGGTATCCTTTGGAGCACAATAAGCTCAAATATGTCATAATTCATGCAATGTTGGACTTTCTCTGCATTTATCTTGGAGAATCTTAGTAGCTCTTTACTAGGTATAGCAATGGTAGACTGATGGATCATTATATGAAGATAATTTCTGCATTAATACAGAGTTAGATTCTATATAATTTATAATGCTCTCTTCTAAAGATAAAAAAATCTGCTTTTATTGCAGGTCATGGAAGTTCTCATTAAAGGAAACCAACGTTCTTTCTTTATACCACCAAGTCAAGCTATTGCACACCAGTTGATGAAACATTGGATTGGAATGAATGCTAATCTTTAGTTCTACTAATTGATTTATTTAAGTTACTTCTTCCATTGAATGCTTAATTAGGATTAGAACTGTTTTGTCTAGTGAATGTGTAACCAAGTGATTTTAAAGTAACCAACTTTACATTGGTTCCAGGGCTAAACTATGCAAATCTTTGTAGGTGTTTTCAGACCTGAATTAGATTTGGACAAAACCCAATAATTATCCCAAGCAAGCAAGCACCAAATAAATAGAATTGGTACCTTGTTGAGTTCAGGCTGTGTTTCTTACTCTGGAATGAAATTATTACGCCTTTTCTTTACACTTTTTATGTTTGATTTGGTCTTCCCCCACTGGAAGGAGTCACAGCATTACAAAGAGGGCTGTCTGACCTTGCCTGCTGTTTGAATTGTCTACTGATATCCTCCTCTTTGGCCTTAATTGTTTCTTTCTCATTTTTGCATATCTCCATTTTTTAAATTTGACCTGTCACAGAAATCTACATTCAGTGCTGAAAGCCTTACCAGGTGTGGTTATTTTAAAGTTAATAGCATATTTAAGTAGTCAATATGTGGTACTTTTATTCTTTACACTAATAACCTAATTTATGTTAATGCTCAAAGCAGAGCATTTGCTCGTCCGTTCTGACTTGGGCTGCGCTTACCCAGTTGTATGTCTGCCTGAATTTAAAGGTATAACACAATACTTCATTTCTGAAACAGGTGTTGGAGAACCATCCCCAAATGCCTACATATTAGTGTTTTTATAAGATAATAATGTACTTATTGATGCTAGGCAGTGAGTAATTTAATTCTCTGATAATTAGAAATGAAATTATAGAATAATGGAGAAGTAAGAACAAGATGTATCACAAAATATGCACAAAGTTTTTTATGGAAATAGAGATGTTAAGGTTGTTACTGCTATTAAGAATCTTATAGTTGAAATAAGTATATTAACTGCAGCTATAAGACTGGGATAGCAATATGTTAATTAAAATATCGATTTATGTGTTTTAATGCTGCAGTTCAGATTTGTGCCTTAACTTACCAAGTTATTTAAGATAATGTTGATATTCTAAAAAGAAAAGTATACTGGTTTATTATTAATTTCATAACGCAATATTCGTGGTCTGTCATTCTGCAGTCATTGCAGTGATATCAAAAGAAATGCAAATGACCTGAGGAAATAATAGTGACAAATGTAAACTTACTATTTTATTATTTGTTTATTTGGAGTAATTTAAATTGTTTTTAACAGTGAATGGTGTAATATTTTTTCCAAAATTCTCAGCAACCTTGGATCATTAAAACTGTTGTACAAATCCCGATTGTTCTTTGTTTTCCCCATCCATGTCACGCTATGCTCAGCAGTTTTCATGGGTTTTTTGTAAGGCAGTACCTAAGAAACTTTAAAGCAAGAAGCCTTCCTGACAGATTTGGAGTATTTGACATATTATGTTGCTTCATTCTCTTCCTTGTTTTAGCCATACATACAAATAAATACAGGTTATCTCTTGTCTGGCAAGGAGAAGGAAACAATACCCTGCTTCCCTTAAAAATTGCTTTTACAGAGAAGGCGAATTATGGAAAGCTGTCATAGGCCACAGGTACCAGCATGACTGTGCAGTAACAATGGCAATTATCAGTTACAGGTTGCTCGTAGAGTAAAGGAGGATCTTGAAAAGTATGCAAAAAGTAGTGGAAGCTAAGCAATGAAAGGAAGTTTTAACTAGTGCTGAGGTGATTACACTCAGAGAGATGAATAACAAAGGAATGAGGAGCCAGATGGAAGAGGGAGGATAAAGCATAGAGCAAATATAGGTAGCATAAAAGTAAGTAGTTTATGATTTTGAGATAGCTAAATGTAGATGACTAAGACCCATAGGAATACTTTTGGAACTATTGGAATAGTTTTTTATGTAGAATATTATGGTGAGTGGCTATAGAGATGTGCTTCTAAAAGTGAAACTCCAAACACAGTATCCCTGACCAATACTGATGTTAATAAGCTGCCTAAATTTTTTTTTGAGAATCTGTATACCAGTAAATATCTGCAGTTACAATGCTAATAAGTAAATTGAAAATGTACACTTTTCTTTATGAAGAAAAACAGAAAAATAATTATGTGACAAAAGGAACAACACTCAAATTATCTCTGATTTTGAGAGTAATATTTTAATGATCTTTCAAGTCTAATTACTTAAGTGTGTCAATGATTTTTAGTCTTCATACATTTTCAAAATCTAAGCCAAGCTCTTGAAAAAGGTTTTGAAGCTTACTTTTCCTTTTTCCCTTACCAAGAGGGTAATTCAATTTGCAGGGAAGAAGACAAATCTAAGAAAACTAGTTAGATAAATTTAATCTACTTAAGAAAAGATTTTTTCCTGGCTTTTTGTTGCTTAATTTGCCCTATTTGTAGGTCAGGGTTTGAATTTATTTCAAAATTACCTATACATTTTTTGAAGGACAGTTACTATTTTGCAGTTTACGCGGGAAATGTCAAGTGTCAAATTGAAGAGCCAAATGCTGTGGTTCAACGACCGCAGTTCAGGAAAGTGCCAAATTAAATTTAGGTGCAGTTGAACAGAGTGTAGTGATTCTGACTGGCGTATTGTGTGGGCAACACCTGCAGAAGATCTCAGTAGTTCAACGTACTCAAAAGGCAGCTGCAGCTTCGGAAGCAGGCTGTTTCTTGCCACAGTGTTAATGCAGTAAATTAAGAGAATAGTATTACTTACTAAAAAGAGTGGGGTTTTTTCTGCACTGTGAGTAATGATCTGTCTCTTTTCTCCCTTGCTTATACAATGGTATCAGACCAAAAAGAGTACTCATGATATCACATGTACAAGGCGGAAGATTCTGGAGATGCCTTTTATCCCAGTTTGCCTGTGTATTAAACAGAACTACGTTCTATTCAATATATAATTTGAAAATACTATGTATTTTATATATCTTTATAATAATTTACAGATAAGAGAAATAGTAGCTCAATAAAGCAGGAAAAAATAATTAGGTCTTTGACATTTCTAATGAAACTGTAATCTCATGCAATGTAATGGATGACATTTTATGTAAGTATAATACTGGTTATGGTACTTTTACAAACTTTGCATTTGTCCTAATAAACATACTTCTTTTAACTCATTTTTCCTTCTGGATATATGTAAGCACGTGTAAAGTAGAATCATTCCAGTGTTGATTCTGTAATTTGGACATTATGTTTTCTATAGGAGCATTGGCAAGTCAGTAAATTATTACACTGAAGTCTGCAAGACGTGAGGGAAAAACAGGTCGATGTCAACAGGGTGATTAAAGGTAGACCAGTCATGATGCTTCATGGAATTAAATATACTAATCAGATTCTGAGCTTAGCAGACAGAAATAGAAAAAGAAGTGGAACAAGGCTGTGAACATTCCTCCCTCTTTTATCTTTAATTTTAATTAGGTAATCTGATTGATTAAGACTTTTCAGATGGAGCTGGCGTTTTATAGCTGCTGGGTAATTTAGTTGTTATTTTTATTATCTGCTTTAGCTATAAAGAGTTAAATAAGTAGTAGTCCTTTATTGCTTCATTGGTTTGAACGATATGTGTATACTGTATATCATTGCTGGCTGGGTTTGATGGTACTGACGGGGGTAAGTCTAAAGAAAAAGAAAATTGAATTTGTTATCCTGTTAAGCCTTAGGAAGACAGCCAACCCATCCTTTATGAGCTTAGAAAAGCAAACTGTTTACAGACAGTCCATAACAGCAAGCGTCTGAGGAAAATGAATATTGGCTTGTGGCAATGGTAAGTATAAACCTTTTTTCATTAAATTAGACTATTTTAGTTAGTATTCTGTAGCTACTACTTGTTACAATTCATCATAGATTTTGTTAAGTAGGAATTCTGCAGATTTTTTTCGTAGTAAGAAAATATTACTGTTTTCCTAAATGATAGACTTTTAAGATGGACATTTGATTCCTAAGTCTGTATTGGTTATCTTATTTTAGCATATAAGTACTACAAATTTAGTGGTATATAATTTTGGAAATTAAAGCCTACCTGTATGAACTTGCATTTGTTAGAAGTATTGCCTTTCTGCAAAACCAATTTCACATTGGAATATGAAGAGTGCTATGATAAGACTACAGAATTAGTAATCAAGAAGGAATATTGAGAATTGAGAGAGAAGGATGCTGTTGAGTAGAGAAGCTTACATTTTCATTTTTCAGCACTTAAGTAAGCCTGGATAGTAATTTTTTTCCTCCTACCATTTCATCATCTTGCAAACTAGGCTACCTTTGGTAAAGTACATCCCTATTTCTTTCTAACACGAGAAGCATTCTAACATTCAGCTAAGAAATGTAGGTATTTTCTCAAGACCTCTGCCAAAGCTAAAAAAGGGTGTATGAAATAAGCATCTCAAGTTATTTTGTCACTCTAAGTCTAAATTGCTCCTTATTTATTTTGTGTGAATTGCTCGTCTGGAGAAAGTGACCCTGGAAATTGCATGGTCAGAAAATATGGTTCCCATTTTAGACCCCAGAAGTCAAATCCTAGAAGTTAGGATACGGTGACAGATTTTGCCCATATTGCATTCTATGAACAATAGAATATTTTTCATACATAACGGTAATTTATATTTTATACTCCCAGACATTCTGAAAATAAAAAAACTACCTTGTGTGTGCAATTACTCTGTAGGGTGCTTTTGGTGGGCTGAGTTTCTAGTATAAGCAAGTACTTCAAATTTACCTGATTTCTGTTAAAGAGGGACGAGGAATTCTGAAGCTCAAATAAATTGGAGTAATTCAGAGTCTGAGGAAGAATTACAGTACTACACTGACAGCTTTCACTATAGCACCTATGTTTCATTACTGAAAATGGTTGTTACAGTTGTTATTAATGTATGTTATAGTGAGATTTCTACTAGTTTCACTATTAATCGTTGCATCACATCTGGATGGTATTTCCCATACCTGCTGTCATTTTTTGTACTGACAAAGCATGAATTGCACTCTAAATACCAGATTGACAAACTCACTGACATGAACAGGCTAATCCAACTGATACACAGTTTAGGAGGTTTTCCTTTGGTCCCTAAAATAGGAATAACAGATGTCCAACACTGCAAACAGAAATGGCAGTTTATGTGATTTTTAAAACATATTTTCAGAGCTTTTGATGAAGGAAAGTTATTTTATGCAGTAGAAAAGAGAGGTAATGCACAGCAAATTCTGTTCTCTATTTATAAATATGTTTCTACTTATTTGATAATAAATACATGAACATCCATTGTAGTAAAATGTAGAAATATTAATTATTTAGTAATTGTGTTTAAATCATGATGGAATGTTTTATAGACCATTTACAACACAGAGGCTACCTACTAGTCTGTTGCAGTGTAAGGCAGTGCGCATTTTTAAATGAAGGTAAAAATGAAAAATGCTGCTGCAGAAATTAAGTATTTCCAACATCTAAAATAAATGTTTATCTTTATTAATACATCATTTTGTCTTTTGTTGCAAAAGCTCAAAATAATTAACCAAAAAGCAAGATTACTTGATAGGTAGACAGGAGCTTTACATGACATGAGTTTTACATATGATTTAGCAGAATTTAAAAAAACCAAAAACAATTGACTTCACTTCTCCCTAAAAATGCAGAAATGCCTGGGTATATACAACCCATACTAATCTGTATTTCTCTACAACTTTGCCAGCACTTGCTTTCTCAGGACTGAGTTAAAATAATCTTGAAAACATTGGACTGACTGCAATTGTAGTAGCATTTTCTGAATCTAAAGTGAAGGGTACCCTGTCTGCGGGGAGAGAGCTTTAATGTATTGGAGAGAATAATATAACTATTATTTATTTTCAAAAGATCGGTCAGAATCTATTCAATGTTTCATAATGTGTCCATTTCTGCTTGTAGAAAAGTCAAAAATAATGCAAAATGTAATTACATGGGGTTTGGGTTTCCTATATATGTGGATTTATGGCACACAGTAGTTTAGACAGTAACCTTCCATCTGAATCAGAACTGAAGACATACTGACTGGTGTTTGCTATCTTTTTGTGGTCTGGAAAAAAAAAAAAGGATCCTGATTTGGTGTGCTTATTAAAGTGCCACTGTAGCAGTGAGGAACAAAGTGACACAGACCCCCTTATGCATACAAAGGAGATCCCTTTATTGTAAAAAATCACATCCTTTTTAAGCCTTTAATCTCTACTCCACATAACTGAAACCAAACCGAGACTTAACAGAAAGAAGGCACCCACTGGCTGGCTCAGCTGCAGTGCTGCTGTCCTTGCATCCTGCCATCCATTCAGCTTCCTGCTCATACACTGTCCACGTGTTCCTCCAGCCAATCGCAGTCTCACTTCCAAATGACTCTTTCCTCAGTCATAACTGCCTCTCACCTCTCAGCCAACTTCCAACCATCCAGCCTGCAGCTGTGCCTTTAGCCTGAGGCCTTCTGGTGAGCATAAGCCTTAGCAACTTTAATAATTGTAACCCCATATTCTACATCTCCCCCCTCCTTTTTTGTTAGGTAATGGAGACCTAAACAACTCGTAAGACATTAATAACAGTGACAACAATAATGACTATAACAACTGTTCAAAACGTGTAAACGCTTATAACATAGTAACTATATACACATCAATTCAGGATGGTGTGACAAGAGGCCGCCCATATTGTGAAGGAATCCACTCCACGTGATGGCCTGTGGAGAGGCAGGCATATCCTCATCCCCATGTCAGCAAGGCCAGTGATCCTTTCCATTCTCCAGTCAGTAAGTCCTTTACCATCACAGGAGGTTTTAGATGAGCCTTTGTGTCAAAAGGAGACTGCCTTTCACATGCAGTTTGTCCTGTCTCATCATGAAATAAAAAATTGAGAACATACCAGGCCTTAGTCTTTCTTGAGGGCACCCCAATTCCCTGCCTCTTTGTTTTTCAAGCAGGGATTTTAAGGTTTTATGGGCACACTCAACAACAGTACCGTTCATGACATAAAATAGATGATCGGTGGGTCCCAGTACAGCACCTGTTGCAGATTGAGTTCACTGATCCATGTTTTTTGTGTGTTTCCTTTGGATGCTCTGTTATTAAAACTATGTGGATACTGCCATATATCCACTGAGTTCCATTTGATTGGAACCTGATTATTTTCAGACGTAGAGTTCATATTTTTATTAATTTTACAATGTGTTGTATGGTACTGTTACAGTCCCTGTAAATGGCTACCTTCTTCCTTTTTTCTAGACATTTTGCAGGCACTTTTTAAAAGGCCAGTTTTTTCAGGAAAATACGTAGGTGAAGCTAAGCAAGTGAAGACAGGATCCATTCCAGCTGAGGCAGAGAGTGAGAAACACTGCTAAGACAGACGTTTTTGATGACACATTTTGTATGTGTTTGACATAAACATTTTTTGGCATGAAATACATTCTACAGTACTTCAGAAATGTGTGTTCAGAAATTATTCAAATAATATTCTAGTGGAAGCTTCATAAAGAGAAAAAGGCACAACTAGAAGGTATTTCAAAAAGATGTATTTCAATGAGGTAAGTAAAAGGTAAATCAGTGATGAGCCCTTTTTGCCAACTCTCTGTGGAACTCAAGACTCCTAACTACTCATTCTAATGACATTGTAAATTATATATGGGGCATCTACCCCAGTGTATGAAATCTAAAGTAGGGAAAATGCTACAAACCACAATCAGTACAGAAAATAAAAATAAGTAATCAAGCAGTAAACTTCAGCATTTGCCTAGAGATATTTGAGATTCTCAGATGGCTCTGAATAATTCTATTTAGAGTTTCTGTGGTTTTAACCGTGCCATTTACTTCACTATGAGGCACTGAAACAGGTCACTCGGAGAAACTGGGATTGCCCCATCCCTGGAGGTGTTCAAGGCCAAACTGAATGGAGCTCTGAGCAGCCTTGTCTAGTGGAAGGTGTCCCTGTCCATGGCAGCAGTGTTGGGAAGAGATGATCTTTAAGTTCCTTTCCAGCCTGAGCCATTCTCTGATTGTCTAATTCACATTGGAAAATTCAAACTTTAGTAATTAGAGAAGAGAAACTAAGAAGTGAGAGATGGGACCACACATAGCTAGTAACTTGAGAAGCAAAGTCAAAACAATGATTAGTATGAAA